TTCGCTATTTTAAATATGATGAAACTTTCTTGAATCTTCAAATACACATGCCATCTCGGCCTAGGTGACGCACACCTCGGCCTAGATGATGACATCTCGGCCAATATGCCAGGGTGAAGGTGGAGATCAACCGAAGTGGTTCCAAGATAGTTCTAAGTGTGGAAAGGTTCCAAGGTGTCTAGGCTTAAGATGACCTCGGCAACACACCCGACAAGAACAAAGCATGCAAGCAACACTCGAGCAAAACAAGACAAGATTTGCAAATGCACATAACAAAACAAGATCATACATAAATGTATGCAAGTATGACTAAGTTGAAGTGAGGGTCGTTACAATATATGATTTTTTTTGTAAGACAATGAAATTGTAATAGTGAATTATGATTTCATTTGTGATGTATTTTTATTTTTTTCCCCTTCTAATCAATCAAATATAGGAATAAACATTTTAATGGAATGATCATGTCATTTCATTTTATTTCGGTGAACTAAGCACTACCTTATAGTCAAGTTGAACCTATTTAAGATTTTGTTTAGTTTCATGCTTTGACAAGATTTTTAACTTGAAGGTTGTGGTTGGATCTTAAATTTGTATAGAGAATATATATACATATGGTAAAAAAAAGAACAAAAAAAGAAAGAGGCAAGTATGTATGTTTTTAAATCCATTTTCAGTTGAGTTAGGAAAATGAGAAGAATGTAAATACATATTTGGCATACACAAAAAAGAAAATAATAATAATAATCTTTTTTTTTTTGTGTACCTATAAAAATAAATATAAATAATGGGGTTTATGGTTTAAGGTTCCTGATATTAAGATTTTATACGATAAATGACATGTAATATTTTTGAAATAATTTGGATCTCCTAACATTTTCACATAGATAGAGGAATTTTTGGCACTTCACAGAAGAAATTTCTCTATAACGAGTTGAAATTTCTTTAATAATATTATTGAGGGACCTTCACTAATAAGAAAAAATATATTGAATTTTTCCTACTACTCAAAGTTGGATATAGACGTTTCACTATTTTTTTCATAAATAATTCTATTTTCTTTTCTTTTCCTTTTCCTTCCATTAATTTGGATTTAAACAACGGCATAAATTGAGTTCAATTCTCTTACTTAGCATAACTAAAAATGCATATGGTAGGGAGATATGTATAATAGAATTCTTCAATTATTTTTTTGTTAGAACTCCTACAATAAAATTCACAAATGGATTTAGAACTTACATGTACAAAGTAAGACAAATAAAAATAATAAGCAAGTAAATTAAAAACATCATACATTGCAGTAAATTTAGAAGTAAAAAGTTTTGCTTGTGAGTGTCTAAGATACATGTAATTACTATGTGAAACTATTGTTTCTCCCATGTGAAGGTACAATATTTCGCATCTAGTGTTTTCGTCCACCAAGAAGATATGAAAGAGTTACAAATCAAGTTGCCCACAAAATTAAGAACCCATATATAAATATACAAAGAACTCTTTTTCAATCTCATATTACCTTCTTTTCTTCTCTAAAACACTTGGTAGGAGAGTGATTTATATAGGAGTTTTTGTAACAAAATTCTCCTTAAATAACAAAACATTCAAATATTTTGTCAATTAAATTTGTATAATGGTTGATAATAAAACATAATTAATTGTGTAACTGAAATGACATAATAAGAAAAGAATTAAATCAAATTTTATTTTTTATTAAAATTTATCCAACATTTTTTACAAGGCATTGGGCCCTTTTGCTCTAGTAATACACTTCTAAACCAAAGAAGACAGTAGCAATGTAACAATCTAGCACAATATACAAATTAGAATTAGTTTTTTGCACCAAAAATCTTTTCTTGCTGTGTCATTAGCATAACCAAAAGAAGAATGAGAACCAACGAGCCTGCAAATCCCCGGAAATGCAGTCAGGTGTCTAGTTTGTTCAATCACAGCAGGCGTGAGCCATAAGATCGAGTCGCCAAAGAAGTCCTGAAACAAGAAGAAGAAAGTACAAAGCATTACAATCTCTAGCATTCTTTGGTCACTCTAATTATAGAAACAAGAAAAGAGTTTTTAAAAAAAATGAAAAATATAGTTTACATGATCATGGTTGTCACCGGAATTCTACACCCAGATAAGTGGAGCCAGGATTAAAAACAATCTAGAAGAAAACTTTACTTTTTTGGATGAACCTCCAACCTCAAGGCTGATCCGTGCTTTCAATTATATCAGGAACATGGATCACTTCTCCTCTGTGACTCGAAGCTGCAGTTTCAGGCATAACCAGATTACCGACAATATACCCAGATAAAGAAGAATTAAAATTTAAAAATATTATTAAAAAAAAAAAAAAAAACTTGAAATGTAAGACGATATATTGGTTGGCGTTCTATCCACATTGTTGTGAGGAGAGGCAGGAATTTGAGCAGAGCTGGTCAATGCATTACATGATACAAGCAAACTCAACTTGTCAATGGAATAGAACTTTCCAACATTTTCAAGCATTACCTTGTGGAGTCGGGACTTCATTTTGCTATCTTGTGACTGTACAATTCCAAGCTTCCAGAGGATTTGTTCCAAGGAATTGTCACCGTCTCTGAGCTCATGGGATAACAATTCATCATTGACCCCAAACTCGACATTAATTGACTTCTCTGCCAAAATCACTCCAGGAAAAAGGGATCAATTGAATTAGTAACGGGATTAGATCCTTAGAACATGCCTCACATCTAGAACATTAATCTTGTCAAAACTACTCCACTGGTGTTTTTAAATAGTAACTTCAGCATGAAAAGCACATAGTTATTTCATTACAGAGGCATACATTGAAAGTATTTAAATTATGTATTTGCATCAAAAGCATTTTCTATCAAATCAATCAAAAGCTCGCTCTCTTCACAAGATTTGATAGAAAATTTCCACCAAATCATCACATCACAATGAAACCCACGGAGGCTCCCCCTTTAATTGAATTCATGAAAAATTTCTTCATTTGAAAAATGTAGAACTTTTACAGCTAAAAAGTCACTAAAAAAAATCTCAATAATTTACGGATTTCGATACAACTAAAAAAAGCCATTTTCAAATACATTTAACTTTTTTTCATCTCATAAAAAAGTCTAAAAGTCACAAAAAAAGCCAATTCCCAAACGACTTGGCAAAAAGTCTTCAATTCTTTTTCTTTTCTTCCTCTTCATGACTTCTTTGCTTTGACTTTGACAAAAAAATGGAAATGACTTGGCACCAAAACCTTCTAATGAGCAATTGTCTAACTCAAACAGTTTTCTTCTATTAAATTCTGCAAGCTCTCCGTCATACTTTAATGCTTGGGACTCAAAATTCTTAATTTGTAATTCTACCCATTTACAACGCCACATGAGAGGTCGTATGAATGTCCTCCAATGAGGTGTCAATCTTTTCCTCCTGAAAAAATGCAAACATCAGACGAGTATAAACATTATACACTGATAAAATTCGAAGAAGACCATTCATCTAATAATATCTATTGGTTACCACAAGCAGGAAGTCATTGAAGACAAGAAGACTAAAATAAATAGAGACCTATCCAAGCTTCATGAAAAAAAAATTAAAAAAAATAAAATAGAACAATTTCCTAAGTTCCAGCATACTCAATTTCCAACTAAGTACGTATAGCTTCAAACATGTTGGTACAGCAGCTTGATCGAAAGCTTAATTGTCATGTATCGAAATTTCATAATCATATAAAATGAAAAAAGGAAATTAGCATTTTGTATAAATTGTGGACTTTGGAGCTTCATAAAAGGCGCTAGTTTTCTTGTTTGTAGAGTTGTCATTGCTAAAGAACCCAAGATCAAAAAGAATAGTAAAAAAAAAAATGGTACTTGACAGAACTTCAGCATCACCCAACATCGCACTGTTCTCAACTCACAAAAATAAGTTCATGAACAAATCTCACAAAAATAAAAATCATTCCAATTCAAACCCAGAACTTTTTCTCCCCCTAAGCATGAAATTCCAATTCAATTCTTTCACAAGAAAATACAAAAGAATAAACCGTCAATCTAAACCAATCAAGGTCCTAAAACCCTTCAATCAGAAGAAAAATCATAAACCCTAAACCCTAGAATACAGAGTCAAGAACCGCCACCAGGGTTTGTTCAGACTGATAGACGCTGAAGTGGGTTTCGTTGGATCGAACAGAGACAGAAGTCCCCTTTTTTATGAGAGTTCTATTTATTTATTTATTTATATTTAATATGAATTTTTTTATTTATTTGCCAATTTTTCTTTTTTGATTTGCTTTCTATGCGATTCGACTGGAGAGCGCATTTGAATTTAACGAATCTATTGTAAACTCATTTTCGGTGATTTAACCTGATTACTTTTTAGAATTCATTGGGAATGATATTTATGTAATAAGTCAAGATGAATGATTGAATTTTAATAGCTATATATTTAAATTACGTTTGTGTTTAAAAAATAAATTGTTATTTTTGAAATTATATTTGCCGTCTATTTCTTTTAAGATAAATGTGATTCAAATATATAGTTACTGAAATCTAATTATCTTGATTTTTTACATGAATATTCTTTCCAACAAGTACTAAAAAGCGAACGGTTTGAATCACTGAGATTGAGCTCATAGTGGGCCCACTAAACGCAAATACTCTCTCAAATTGATTTTTTTTTTAATTTTATTTCAGTGTTGAAGTGCTTTCCCTCACCTAGCAGTGTAATTCGGGCTTGGGCTTGGGGTCGACCCAAGTGGGCCTTGCGGGCTCTCTCTTTTGACGGGTCAGATCGTGTAATACCCAAGTTTTAAATATGATTATTTTATTGGATAGATTAGTAATTAAATTAATTTATATGGGTCATTTATTAATATCAAAGAATTAGTTATGAGATGGCATTATATTTCCTATTACTTAGATGGGTAATTTTGTAACTTTGCGAAATTAGGTTAATAAGCCCACCTATTGTGGCTTTAAGTCTTGGAGAACAAACAAAACAGAGGCTGTGAATTGCTCCATAGGCGGCTAGGGTTTGAGAAGGTAAAAGAAAAAAGAAAAGAAAAAGAGAAGAGAGGCTTGTGCTGCAGAAAGGGTTTGGAAGAGTTGAAGGTGAAGGCAGCAAGCAAGGGTTTGGAAAAGTTTAAAATTAAAGAAAAGAAACCCAAACCAAGGAAGAGGGAGGATTCATAAGAGTGGTGGTTTTGCTTTATTCATCACTTAGGTAAGATTTATTTTATTGTATTCCTATCTATGATTTTAGTGTTAATATATCAATAGATGATTTTATGGGCATATATGATTAAATAGATATATTGATATAGTCTATGTTGGGAGTCTCAATTTTGCTCAATTTTAGAGTGTATTTTGCATCCCATTTGGGTGGTTCATATTTTGAGATTGATATGTGATGGGTTAAGTTTAATGGTGGTGTATTTGTGGGATACACGATTGACTACAAGCAATTACAAATTGTTACGTGTATATAAACAACAATAGAATAATATGGGTTGAGAATTTCCGAAACCGTAATGGCTTTGTTTTGATGCTAAATTGGGGGAGTTCTCAATAGGCAATTGGGTTAATTTATTTTATTGTTGTTACAAGAAGAGATGAATGGATGCACATAATAATTGTTTATGCGGTGTAATATTTTATTAGGTTTGTGAGATTGAGGTGGATCTTGGTAAATTGAGATTAGCTTGGAAAATATTATTTTAGCTGTTTGAAGGTAAGTAACCCTCTATCACTGTTGGTTCATTTTCATTCGTATCAAATCGTTTAAAATCATAAATATTTATTCGTAGCTTTCCTGTTCTCTTAAAATAAAATATGGGTCAAATATAAAACAACATCGAATATTATTACGAAAATTATTCGAATATTTGGTGAAACTATTCTGAAAATTGTACCAAATGTTTATTCCGAAAATATCGAATATTGTAAAATTAGAGATGAGTAGGGATGTAATAATGAGCCGGTCCAAGCGGGCCTCGCGGACTCCCGCCTTTTTAACGGACCGGGCTGGGCCTGCTGATGGGCCAAAAAGTGGGGCACAGGCTCAAGCCCAAGCTCACTCATAATAGGGCCTGGGCTTGGGCCTAGGGCCGAGGGCCTAGGCCGCAGACTGGGCCTAGTCGGGCTTTTTTTATTTTTTTATATCAAGATTAAAAAATTAAAAAAATTATTATTACTCGATTATTTTAGTTAAGATTAATGAGATGTTTTGTTTGGTTATGTAATGTTTCATGGTGACATTTAAATTTAATTATGTATGACTTATGTTTTTTTAATTATGAACTTATAACTAAAAAGCATGCAATTATGTAATTTTTTTTCTTTCAAAATGAATAATTTTATATATATGAAAATGAAACTTTTAATATTATAATATTAAATTAATTATATAGCATTTATTGAATGAATAATTTTTATTTCAAAATGAAATAAAATATTACAAAAATTTATATTATTAAATAAAATAGGTATAGGTTATTGATGATGGTAGAGCAATTGCATCACTATTGGTCAAGTACATCCTAACTAGGTTGGCACTTAGTAGCCTACCAATCATTTGCATTATACTCTACCTTAATAATCTAATACAAAAAAAAAAAATGATATGAAATAGTAAAAAACAAATTATTGATCAATCATCGGAGGAGACAGATATTTCAGTCGCGTTGCTTGAGGATATCTCATCCAAATCATTTTGAATTTGCTCATTTTCACTCTAATTTTGTCTTCTTGTAAGCGCATGCATATAATCTCTAGATATCATCAGTGCCTTAAACATTTGGGGTGAAAGCTTGCTGTAGTAATCGTTCAGCGCCCGTCCACCTGCACTAAAAACTGTTTCCAAAGCAATTGTAGAAATAGGAACGATTAGTATATCACGAGCCATCTGTTAAACCACAGGTCACATAGTTTCATTTTGTTTCCACCATTCCAAGATGTCAAAATCATCGAAATCATCCACTGACGGACTTTCCAAATAACGTTGTAATTCTAAACTACTTACGCTTGTATGTTGAGCTATTCTTCTACTTTTTATTGTTGAAAAGATGTTTAATCTCCCGTCTCGAGATGAGACTATTAGTGTAGTGTGTGTAGGTATATTTACAGATGCAGCTACCCTGTATTTTTCAAATAATCTGCTGCATGTTTGCATAATAAAGGCAAACTGTGTTTGATCAATGAAAATACGTTCTAAAAATTCTTGTAAACCAATTTCTTTATACCTAGGATCAATTATTATGGCTAAACCTAAAAGATGAGGCAAATGATCAAAATATTTATCAAATTTTGCTTTCATTGAAGTAATAATGGTTACATAATATTCATTACCTATATATTTTATGAAAACTTTAATTATTTCTGCTAGCATATGTAAAACAAATGGTGAAGTAGGAATATATATATATATATATATAAATAATTTTGTTGAAATATCAAAAACTTTAAAAAAAAAAATTATGCAAGGCTACTTGGGGACAATTAAGTTCTATGGGAGTCAATACTCCTCCTATTGATGTTGTTGTAAAAAATAAATATGTTACTCTTCTTTGTTTACAAGCTCTTTTTAACATATTATACGTTGAATTCTGCCTACTATCTATATCTAAAATTAATTTTTTAAATGACATACCTTCTCGTTGACAAATTTTTCTATATTCCGAAATTCAATTCGTAGAAAACATAATAGTAACAACTGTATTTTTTATTACAAGTACTGAAGTCTCATATACATTCATAGCTTATTTAACAATCAAGTTTAAAATATAGGCACAACAATGAACATGAAATAAATCACCATCAACAAGTAATTGTAAAGTTGATTTTAAATGGGTTACAATTTGATTATAATATGTTGCATTATCGAAACTAATTATAAATATTTTATTTTGCAAAGCCTACTCATATAATACATTTCTTATTCCTACACTAAGCAAATGACCAGTGTATGGAAGTTCAATTAATTTAAATAAAATAATTCTTTTATTTAATTTCCAATCATTATCAATAAAATGTGTAGTGATACATTGATATTTTAAACCATTATTAGACCATAGATCAGATGTTAAACAAATTCTTCCATTCAATTTTTTAAACATGCCAA